TTCCGATGCCATGCAGTAGGCTCAAAGTTTCTTCTCGGATGCCGCATTCGCTTTTCAAATGTCGCTCGGGCACTAATAATTATAAGAACAATGTAAATCCTCTGGGGGCGGGGGGCTCATTGGTTTAATTAATATGACTTGTATACCTTTGAGAGAAATGAAAATTAGATTTAAAACGGCACTGCGCACATCTCCAACGCTGTTGGACAATATTTCGTCGATGTGCTGCTGAGAGACGTGCAACATGTCGTCGGCGATGGTATTTAGTACACCGGATACTCGCTTCAGCATATTTTTCACCGCGGTTTGTGTGGTTGCATTCACGCTGTGCCAAATAAATCGCGATTAAGCTTAAAATAGCGCGCGGAAATTGATCTTTAATTTATTGAAGAAAATTATCTGATTAACTTACGTGATGAGATCGATACCAAACTTTTCTCTTACATTAGGTGCGAATAATGTCTGCATCAGTCTAGAGTTTCCAGTCTCTGTGCAAACAAATATCACAGGTTCCTTGCCTATCTGGAAATATTTTCTAAAGAAAGATATTTATAAAGAAAAAAATATCAAGCAATATCTAAACAGTTTATTATAAAGTAGATGCTGCTTACTCTACGAGTGTAAAGAAGCCTTTGTGATCCTCTTGATAAACATTTGGAAGATCCTTAACGAGAAGCAATTGCTTGGAACAATTGCCGAGTACTGTGCGATAACGCGTTGCGCGAATTACGTGATCCTCGAATTTATCTCCTTGCCGCATCACGCGTTCTGAAAATTATCAAAAAAAATGATGTTTAAATATATAATTTATAACTTTAGTACGCTTTCATAAACATCGAATAGTAATCGTTACTATTTTCATCCTCTATTTGATCAATTGGAGTAATCCATTCAATAATGTCGAATCCGTTTTCTTTAGCAAGTAACTTTATAGCCACAGTTTTTCCACAACCGGAAGGGCCAGAGAGAACCAACATCGAAGGCTGCCTTTTTGATGCTTTATATTGAAACCAATTGGAAATCTCATTTTGTTTCTGTCGGCTAATTGCCAACTCAGAAAGTTTTTGAGGTTCACAAGCCTCGAGTAATTTCGATAAGTTGGTTTCATGTTTTCTTCTCTTAAAATTATTTTGCGTGAATGATGTGTTCGGCAGAGTCTTATCTAATTTTCTTGTGTTAGTACGCTTGACCAAAGGCTCATTTACAATTTCACAATCAAATGATGGCACACACCATTTATTATTTCTCTGCAAAAAAGATAGAAAAATAGTATGAGACAAGCACAATTAAGAAAATAAAATAAAGTTTTATATTTTATATCTGATAAGGATGTAATACATTTATAAAGAGATAAAGAAATTAAATTTAAATATTATTCTACACATTATTCTAAAACTAAGAGAGAAAACAAAGAGTTTTTATATGCTAACTCTATAATTCTTAAGACTTAGAAATAAGATCTGTCAAATTATATTTTTATATCAGTTAGGAATTAGGTTAAGTGAGATTTAATACCATTTGAATGACAATCCTAAATAATTTTTCAATATATCTCTCGATACTTATATACTTACTTTTGGAAGGGTCATGCTTATTTATATATATTTACATTTTGTACTCTAATTAGTTTGAATGAACGCTTGATACGCGCTTTTTATCTTGTTTATCTTTGGATGCACTCCGCTTGATGCTATTTTTGCTTCAAAGCGCAAATTTTTCGCTGTGATTGGCCCATCAAACGCTTCGAAGCAGAAATAGTATAAAACGGAACACACCTTTTGTACTAAAATAATACTATATGTGTGTGTATCGTTTGACGCTACGAAAGTTTCAAATCATTTGTATGTTAAGTTTCGAATCATTTTCTGCTATCAATTTGACATCAAATTGCGTTGTGCAGATTCTGCTCGGTTTTTGCTGGCTATCTGCTATAATAATTCTATGCAAATCCTGCTCGGTTTCTGCTACTGATCTGCTGTCAAATTATGTCAGCAGGTTTTGTAACATTTCTGCTGACATTCTGCTATTATTATTTGATATAACAGACTTTGTATACAATCTGGAATCTTTCTGCTGACAAAAATTTGTAGCAGACGTTTGGCAAAATCTGTTCGAACAGACTTGGCTATCTGGGTGGTTCTTCAATATATTGACATATCTCAATATATTCTATATTTAAAAAGCGATATATAAATAAGTAATGATTGTCTTAGGATTTATTAACAATTGTTTATCTAAATCATAATATTTGTTATCGGTATATCTATATCAATCGTAGTTACGAATTCAATTGATCAATTCTAGTAGAGTTGCAAGTAGAGACAGAAAAACCTGAATTAACATCATTAATGCTAATTGTAACTAGTGCGCAGTACCTTTGCTTTGATTGTATAATGGAGCTGCATTGTGTAATGGAGCGAACAATCGATGGAATTGGTCCATATACAAACTTACTGTAAAGAGTATTATTTTACCTACACTCAAGTAAAGTAATATCTTTACACTAGAATAAATCTGTAATCTATATATTTGCACAAAAAACTTGATTAAAAATTTGTATTAAATTTTCATGTAATATATGCTATTCCATAGCAATATATATTACCGATATATGGACCAATAATGAACTCGAGAATATAATTTAAAGGTTGTGTCTAAGAGAATGTAATTATTACTAAATAAAATATTTATGGGACTTGTCCATAAGACTCAACAATTGCTTCTTGCATAAACTAATAGGCAATAACAATCTTTTATATATATTTACTATATTGATCTTACAAAAAATGATTATATTTGCTATATATTGCCTATTGCACTTGTTGTAAGTAAGATTTAATATTTAACTAAACTGTGGTGTATTATACCGGGCGGGCGATCATAGACGACTATGAATAGGAGTAAAATTTTAGTGATATTATTTGTACAACTTGCATGAGTTAGTACTTGTGCATCATGACATTATCAGGACTAACACATAACACTTCCTTTTCCAGACAACACAAATTCAAGGATTGAGCATTTACAAAGGATCAAAGACGAGCTTTATCTCTGTATCTCGGCTTATTATTTGAAATATAAAATGTATAATCTGTTTAAATAACCTCATATATTTAATAAAAATAAGATAATTATACAGTTTAGGAATGACTTCATAGATTTCAATAGCCTTGACATATATATTAAGGACCGTGTCATTGATAATATATATCAAAGCCGATGAAACCTGTGAGGCCTTTCCTTAAACTGCATAATTATCAAAAATAATTGTGCAATATACATACAATGTAGAAATAGATAATATTGAAATATCAAAGAAAATACTAATCGTTTTTTACAATACGTTTTATATAAATTTTAAGGAAGATTGTGCCAGCTCTGATTATAGTGGCCTAAAATATAATTCTACTATAATTATTCTATTCGGTAGGACGTGATGATGAAAGTAAAAAAATCGCGCGATGAAGATTACCAAACGAAAAAAAACGGCAAGCCATTTGACAAATCATATCGCTATTAACGACCATCCCGATACTTCGACGAATCGAACCTTGGTGAACTTAAAAGTCCTCGTACATAAAATATTACTTTTCTATACTTCTCTATAATACAATTAATACGACTCAACTCCAAACATCACTCGAGTATCGCTTTTGCGACTCCATTTTCTTGATATAATTTGCTGCATCGAGTTCAGACATGTTGCCTCGGTCCATCACAACCTTGAGCAGTATATTGTGAACATCACGGGCCATATTTCTAGCATCTCTGAAAGAAACACACACATTTTACATATTGCAAGACATCGAATCTTCTTTTTATTCTAATAGAAAAGGAGGAGCTTCGAACCAACCCGCAAACGTAAATATGTCCATTCTGTTCACCGATGACGCGCCAAAGTTCCTCCTTGTTCTTCTCGAGCAAATGAGTGACATAGACTTTATGCTCTTGCTCGCGGCTGAATGCGGTATGCAATGTTAAAGTGCCGTCCTTTACGTACTGTTCCAATTCCTCACGATAAAGAAAATCTTCTTGGCTTTTTCTGCATCCAAAGTACAGTATTGTATCGCCCACTTGTTTACCTGAAATCAAGAATAAGATATTAGTATACTCCGATAGGACAAAATGTTGCGTTGCGAAGTATCAAGAACTTAGAGAAAATTTACCTTCTCTTCTTGCGAGATCACGTTCCTGTATGAAGCCTCTGAATGGCGCTAGACCAGTTCCCGGACCAATCATGATGATGGGAGTACTCAAATGCGTCGGTAAACGAAACTGAGACTTTCTTACGAAGATCGGGACGACACAGGGTGGATCGGAGGGATGTTTATCCTTTAACCAATTAGTAGTTACGCCCTTATTGATCCTGCCAGTTGGGGTTTTGTATTCCACTACTACCGCCGTGATGTGAATCGAAATCGGATGAAGCTGAAATACGGCAGTTATTTTTATTAAATGATGAGTGATATCTTTCAACTAGAGAAATATATCCTATCATTTTTAAAATCGATAATATACCTTCGGAGATGAGGATATTGAGTAGTATCGACATTGTAATCGTGGTAAAATCTCGCAGAGGTGATCCAGCGGTGGCTTCAAGCTGGAAATATCTTCTAAAATGTGCACAATATTGCGATTCTCTTGAACTATCCATTGCTGATAGGCCGCTTTGCCCTCCGCAGTAGTTAATGCCATCAGCTTTAGCTTCTCCTTGTCCGCGGGATCGGTCGCGTACTCGGCCAACTCTTTAAGAACGTGCGTTCGCGGGTTGCTCGTAATGTCCAAGTAATGCGTCAAGGCAGTCCTATAGCTACAAGGACAAGGGAACGGATGCTTCTTCGTGGATTCCTCTGTAAAATAAGTAGCAGATGATGTAAATATAACAAAAAATATAAGTAAATAGAAAGATATAAAGAAGAAAGAGTAAGTAAATAACTCACCATCTGTATTTGTAAGGGTGAATACGGTATCCAAGTCTGCGCCGCATTGTTCGCCGATTTTATTCACTAGTTCCGCATTGTTCACTGGGTAGACGGCCAAATGATCACCCGCCTCATAACGTATCTTGGAACTTTCGATATTGAACTCGATATGCATGCACGATCTCTCGGATGTCGGGCCGTGTAGCTCGCAGTTCACCTTCACCGGTGCTAAGAATGGATTCTTCGCGTCGTAAGGCCTACGGATAAAAAAAAAGGTGTTAGATACAGGAACACAAAAATATTTAATGGTAAAGATAAATGAAGGCCCTTACGGTCTCTGGTTTGTGAAAGAGTGAAGACGAGCAATCTCTCCGGAGTAAATACGATTGGCAGGTAGATCTACATGTTCCGTGAGCTTGTATTGTCGGATACTAACATCCTCGCCGGCACCTTCAATGCCAAAGAATTCGCAGACGACTGGCCAAAACTTGTCTTTCCATGTAATAAAATCATCTTCTATGCTGTAATAAAGAAAGAGAAATATTTTTAAAGTTGCAATAGAAATAAAGAATAAATAGAAAAAACTAATGAAAAATATCATATATTTAAAACTTACTTGGCATCATCATCTCCAAGACCCAATTCAAAAACGCGCGTAGCACCCAATTGTTCTAATCTGTGATCCACGTTTATGCCAACCTCGTTATAATGCTCGTAAGTTTTATTACCAAGTCCAAATACCTGAAAAAAAACAATCAAGGGATTATTAGCGAAACTTTGCTCATGATATTTAAATCTCAAAAATTCAACGGAACAATCCGTTGGTTTGAATTTTATATCGATTTGCATAAACTCGAACGATACCTCGAGCGGCAATAATGTCGCGTTTCGTCGCGTCGCGACGCCACAAACATGATAGCGCTGTAGGAAGAAACGGACGAATCTATTGTACGTTTTCAGATTCATGATTTATATATAATAGATGCCTGAGTCGGCACTTGAGATATTGCAGACAATTTAACACTCAAAGCATCGTTGGATTCTATATTATTAAGCGTTTTATTTTCTGACCAAAAAACAATAATTTCGCGCACGATCCTTTCACGTGAATGTTACGCGTGAGCATCGCACGTGGACGTGGACTGCTCTAATCAAGAATCAAGCTGATCATAGCCATTTATGCCATGCGCTTGCTTATGTAATGTTCAATGACGTAACTAGCTAAAAAGTCTCCCGATATCAAGGGACTAAGATTATAAAATATGCAAGACACAAATAAAAAAGAAAAAGAAAAAAGAATAGCGAATTTGTTATTCACTTCATTGTGTAACATCTTATTTGATTCTCTTTTTTAATGTATGCACCGTTTCAATATTATCAATATTAAAATTATTAAAATTTCCATATAAGATTTCCATTACGAAAAATTGGATTAAATTGCTTATGAATTAGAGCAGTTTACATAAATAGATTAGAAGGGAAATCAGTTCAAGAAAAATATGATAAATACGAAATAAAAAGTGATGCCAAATATACATACATACCGCATAATTCAATCCTGTAAGGTCACCGTCTCCATTCTTGAGCCAATCGACAAACTCCATCGCATTGTCAGTAGGATCGCCCTCTCCGTACGTGGCCAAACAAAACACTGCTAAACTGTTTGGAATATTTTTCAGGTGTACTAGCTCCTCCTATTGCGATAAAATACATATTCAATATAAAACATGAATTTTCTTATATAATCATTAATTTTTTTTTTATTGCGGGTTATTATAATAATCATCCGCGGAATACAAAACTACTTTGTCAAGGATAATAATTATCAACATATGTATATAATTACATCATTATTGCACGTAGGAATAATTAACGAGATAAATCAGCCAAGGAATATTATTCAAAATATGAACATCTTGTTTAATTTATATCTCACTACAATAATCATCTCAAACAATAAATATCTAAGCTGTCAGCGAATTAAATAAATTGAATGAATTGACGTGATATTTTTTGCCGATATATAAAAAATTCATAATAACTGCCGCAATTTACGTACCATATCACACTCCTCGGGATCGGCCACCATGCCCTTCATTTTATATCTAATTCCCTCTTTAGCGAGACGACCCGCGAATTCCTCGGCGGTGCCCGTCTGACTCCCATAAAATACAACCAAGCTTCGCCCGGAAGTCTTCAGCTTCTTGATGAATGAGTTCTCCGATGGCGGTATTGCGACAAATGACGTTGGTCTGCAATTGCAATAAAATTGTCGAGAACATTTTGTAATTTATCATTTAACCTTGCATGCATGTATAAATATGCGTGGTTTATGAGACTTTGTAAGTTTTGAAACTTTATTTATTTTTTTTTCCTTTACAATACATCTTCAATTTCGAAATCTTTTTCTTCCTTTCAATAATTTTTGGAGATATATTAAACCTTCAATTTAAATTTCTTCACAATTTAAATTTATCGAAATCTTTTTTTTTTCTCTCTCTTTTTGTTAACTGTTGTTAGAGAGCCATGCATCCGAGGTGCAGTTTCGTAAAAAATTAAAAACAATTAATTACTGAATAGAGTATGATTTCGGCGATGGCGCGGGTTCCTCTCGCCTAGTTTTCCTCAGGATGTACCATATCGTCACTACAAGAAGACTGCCGAGCAATAAGATGTCCAGAACACTGAAGAAAGGCTCGTCACCGGTTTCCGGTTTGGTTTCGTTTTCCAATTTTGGCGAACCTGCCATTCTTATAGCCTTCGGATGTGACGCGTCCACTGTCTATGAAAAATTTGCAATTCAATGAGCCAATTGATTTTAACAAAAACTATTAATAGATACGTTCGAAAAATTCTACAAGGCTCAAAATTCTCAAATTATTTCACTTACAAGACAGTCGAAAAATATAGAATTCAATATATTCGATCTTATATACTGCTCATTATCTAATTTTTCTGCGCATTACTCGTAAAAATGACGTAATCTTTTTGCATTCATACGAATTGCAAAAACAAGTATGTTATAAACATACGCTTTGAGCCTTCAAACTTAATCCAAAGTCCAAACATTTCTATTCTTATAAATACACGAAGTTTTTGGAAATATGTATTAAAAGAACTGTTTTAAATATAACGATATATATAAATATGACGATAATCTTTTGATCCCTATATAATGATAAGCGAGAATGTATAAATGCCACAAATAATAACACGCACTTGTGATATGATTCAGCTTTTATTATATCTCTCCTTTATCAAAGTTGAATGTCAATGATAGCGCTTCACACGAATTGTAAATGTAACCTATATTTTAAACAATATACATTCACTACAACACGCATTAATATTTTGCATTTTACCATTACGTGTGATTCGGAATTTTCCGCTTTGTTCTTGTCTTGTTTTTTTAAAAAATGCTAATAAATCTTTCCCCCAACAAAATTTATGCAAATAATATTCCTCAACAACTTTCGTGCGTCACTATCAGATTATCGGTCGATATCTGTCTGGCATGGATTTAAATGTAAAGTTTTGCTCTTCAAAACTGAAGAGGGTCTTATTTACACAAATAATCTTAAATGCATTTATCGAGATTACATTATATAAAACTACTCGAGATGCATAATAAGTATATAGATACATATTCATTAAAAAAAAAAGGAGATTTAGTATGATTTAAAAAAATAAACTCTTCAGTTATGAGAGATGTATAAATTCCTAGACGATGCTAAAGCTCGAAAAGATAAGATCTTCCACAAGAACAAGCGCATTTGATACGTATCTGCCTCTTAATATTGACCGTCAAATAAAAAGGGGAAATGTTATCTATCAGCTTATCATTATATCTCGCGGAACGATAAGAATGCAAGTTAGAACACACAGGCGATGCATGCAGAATAATTATTGATAATTCTCGATTCCTTGATTCATAATTATAAACGTAATGTTGGATTATGTGACATTTGTATGCAACATATGTCGTCGTTGATTTATGACTTAGGTGACCGCGCACGAACTAATAATGATAAAGCAGATATACATTAGCATTTATTCGACATTATTCAGCATTATTTGGTACATTAAACTATTATTAAAATTTTTTTTTATGTCGTTATTCTGCGAATATAACATTATTTCGTCATTTTCATGTCGACTGGCTGCGAGAACACATTTGTTATAGCATCGAATACACGAAAGAATAAAACTTACATAAATATTATGTCATTGGATTATTAAGAGTTTGTGTAATAAATGAAAAGAAAAAACCAACAAACAAATAAATATACATAGTCGATTGGGATTCCTTTTATCGTAAAAAGATTATTCCATGTTTATCCGAGATATTTTGCCATTGAGTAATGTATTTGAGGAATAAAAAATTGCTCTTTATATCTATGTTAATATAGTTTTGTTTTACCGTTTTGATTTATCTATATCTCTGTTTGCTCATATATCTACTTTATTATAAATTTATCTCGTTCATAGATTACTTGGATCGGCTGCTAGAAATAATACAATGACTACCAAACATGCATGCGTAAATTAAGAAGTCATGTCAACTTTACTGTTCCGTATCTTTTTTGTCATATCACTTACATAATATTGTTACATCTACCATGTAACTCACTCTTTTTGTAAACCGCATTGTCATGTATCAAAAATTCGAGAAAATTAATGTGACTTTATTACCCGAAACTTACGTCATCAAACGACTTAAACGCTTCCAACGTGTTGATCGCGATACACGTCTAATGAATACGACTTTCAAAAGTCAAGATGTACTTAACAAGTTGCATTTATTGAATTTTCACTGAAATGTCGGCCGTGTCACTATTGAAAAGCATACTATGTAATTATCCTGCGTGATAAATATTTAAATATATACAGAATATACAAAACAGATAAAATCTGTTCTCTCCACTTTGCAAAAGTATTTAATATTTGATTTTGGCGATAAATAGTTAATCTCTAACTATAAATATTATAGCGCCATAATACAAGAAATGGAAAGCAGACAAAGAAAAATTTGCAATGTAAGAATAGAAATTTAACACGGTAGTAAAAATTAGAAATGCTCTGTAAGATATGTAAAGTATCTTACAAGCTTTTACTTTTAGGTTCTTGCAAAGATTATCGTATGATTTTATATCATTTTTTTATATTATTACTCTTTGATATGTAAGAAAATTCTTTTATATGAAAATTATAATATTTGTACGTATAAATAATAAATAAATGTTTAAAACATAATAGTTGTTCCTTTTAGTATTTATGTAGTATATTGTAGTATAATGTAGTAAAATGTAGTAAAATGTAGTATAAATAAAATAATAGTAGTCTAATCAAAGTGAAAAGCGTAAAAGTGTATCAAAAGAGTGAGTTACTTTTAAGAAACGCAAAAATTTATTTTTGTATGTAATATCAATATTGTTTATTGCCATAAGAATAAGGGAATTAAATGAAATTGTCGGTTCAAATTTATAAACTGTGTATCTAATATTCATAATGAACAATTTTAATTATTAAACAAAGCAAAAAAAAAAAGCGTTAACATCTCATTAATTTTCATGGGATATTGGTCATGGTCAATGTCAATTTGCGATTGTTCGTTTAGCTTTATTTGAGAAGATATATTATTTGGGAAGACCACTTCTTAGCAAAATAGCTGAAGTTAGATAAATTATTATATTATATATTATTTGGGAAGATATATTATTAACTCAGATCATATTTTCAATGTTTTAGCAACTGTTTAGTTTGAATTCTTTGCGCGTGAACCGATTTTGCATCACATCATTTTGTTCTATAGACTGTAAGTCGAACGGAGTAATAAAATAAAAAAAAAGTAAAAAAGATAAAAAAAATTAAAAAACGAAAAACATTTCCTTAGAGCGCAATATTCTTATTATTTATATTATTATAAATTGTTAGTAGTATTATTATTATCCGATTGCAGATATACAAATTTTTGTGCATAGAATAGATTTAATCTGCATTTATTAAGCTTTATTATATCTTTACATTTGTCACGTAAGCTGTTTTTTATGCATATAAATTACTATATTACGCATTACACATAAATGTTATAATTAGCACATATTCACAATTTCTATTGTTAAATATATCAAAGCATTAATATCTTATTAACTTTTATGAAATATTTTCCTTTCGTTCTCTACATTATTTAATTTCTATAATTCTATATGAATGATAATCATATATTCTATACTGCTAAGTTGGAACAAATATAATACATAATCTATTTTTTTCTTTTCAAACAATTGAAATAAATTTGACTTCAACATAATAGATTTCATTCTTAAATTATTAGAAATACTCTCTCATAATATTATTTATTAATTAATTAAGTACTTAAGTACTTAAGAAGAATAATTACGTAGTGTTAGAAAAGGAAGAAAAAATTTAAATGTGTGACAATCTAGCATAACTTTCAGCTACTTACGCGCATGGAATACATATTTTGATATATTTAAAAATTCGTTCCTGCATTATTCAATACATGAGAAAGAGAGCATGTTATAAATTACTTGTAATCTCTGCTCAAAGTTCATAATGTCGTGGAATACAGAAGTATTTATACACGAGATATAACAGATTTTCTTGCGTCAACGTTATCAACGAATAATTATACGCATCGTATTACAATTACATTTCCTCGTGCATTTCATATCCGCTTACCGGCAGTTCCATATTCTTCGCAAGAGACGAATGAAACGTGTGCAGTTTTGAGACGTGCAGAATGGGTGTGAAAACGCGCGATTAATCACACGCGATTAATCCGTGATACCTAAGTAAGCGATCGCGCGCGCGACAACTTGTCACGGTGACAATCGGCGCGAAACTGAGAACTGAAAACTAGAACTACCAGTGCCAGCTGACAATGAGAACCGAGGGAATCTCGCGGCGACGTGACTACATACGCATATATTTTGCGCGTGCGTTTGTATGCACGACCATCACCATATCGACGATAACAAAATGGCAAGTCATCTTATTCGTATACTCTGTCAAGGATCGTGTTAGTACAGGATGTCTCAGAAATCCGCGCTTTTTCTTAAACTACAAATCAGCTAAAGCTGTTAAATAAATTGCAGGAAAAAATATTGAAAAGAGATTTTATTCCGAAGCGTGAATTTTATTCCAAAATCAGTTTTATCGTTCGTGTGTGCGTGTTATATGTTTAATGATTAAAATTTTTCCTCGTTCTCATATATAGGAAGTGCACCAGACATTTTTCGAGCATCATATATGTATGCATACGTATTTGGAAACGTATATGTATGTACACCTAATGTTGAAAGTTTTATCTAGACAGATTCGGAAATAGTAAAGCAAATATTTAGAATGAATAATCGACCACACACACAATCACGATTCCAAAAAGATAAATAAAACCGCTATACAGAATTACATGTTAATTTTTTTTTTAGAGAGTTACCGATTGACTATATACTACACGTATGTTTTTTATGCAAATTCATCTGAATAAAATTTAATGTCAAACTGAATATGTAATTGATATATACATAAATGTAATATATATCATTTTATATTTTTACTTTACCACAACACAACTATTACGCGCGCCTCATTTCGTCCTGTTAACATTTCTTCACATTAAAAAATCAAATAGATTAACAGATTAATAAATAATATATCATAATTAGTCATGTCTTCTGTATACATGAAGATATTGTCCAATTGTGAGCAATTTATTTTCAGCGCGCAAAAAAAATTACGCTTGACCGTTAAAAAATGTATGGAATTTGCCATAATCGCAGTGCGATTTAAAAATATATATGTAAATGGAAGGTACCGTTTGCATTGAGTGAAAGCCAATAAAAAGAAGCAGGTGAAAAGAGACATTCACGCATACTCTCCCCCACGCTGATACATTGCGATTGCGCAAGTAGACAGTTTTAGCGAATCATTAATGGCAAGAGTATTGTAAATATTTTTTTTCAGTTGCAATTATTTTCAATGTTCTATTTAACGGTATATCTCAAAAAGTATGTTGTGAAACCTTTATCTACGAAAAAAATCCATGTAATGTCTTATTTTTATTTAGTACGCTCTATATTTTTCTCTAACTCTCTCTCTCTCTCTCTCTCTCTCTCTCTCATTTTCGTCTAACAAGAAAAAAAACATTTTTTTAGAAAGTTACAGTCTCCCACAATTACGTTTCATCTCGGTATTGTTGCGCGGCGTATTTAAAAAAAAATAAATTATTCTCATTAATTCATTATCAGAGGAGATATATTACCTCATCGACGCAAATGATGCGTTGTATATTGTTATGACTACCGTATTAAACGCGCACGGATTGAAGTTGAAGAGCAGAATATTTTAAATCAGCTACAATGTCGTCTACAAGGACAGTTTTTTAAATACATCCGGGAATGTATATATATACATGTATACGTCATGCATCTAATCTACAGTAACAGCGATGTGATTGTCGATTATCTCCACGTATTGCTACATATGTTATACTAACTCAATTCTAATTAAATTCTAATAATGTCGATAAATTTTCGGAAGTATTTCACATTTCAAATGTCGCCTATTTCAAATTATCGATAGCAATTACGAGATTAATAATACCAATAACAATATCGCATTAAACGCGCGATATCTCGAATTCTTTATTCTTTTGTTGTGTCGGTGAGAAATTATCAAATATTTTCATGAAGAGACCCCTTCCTTCTTCGGCCATCATGTGAGATTAAAATTCTCGTATTAAAATTCTCAAGTAAATGATAACTTTAATTAACGGAGTTTAAAGTCAATAGCTAATTTACCATAGTTTATTTACGCTAATGGCGTTAATAGATTGGGATAATTTTAATCAGAGATGCATGCTCGTTATGATGTCTTTGCACGCGCTATCGTCCTTTTTTATACTTTCACGACAGGAATCCAAAGGCAAGTTGTAATTTATATCAATCGGACTTAAACTTTAATGCGGAATACTGTGGCGGCAACAAATAAATATCAAACAGGATCTCAAATAATTGGTTATCTGAAAAATTCGTATTTATATTTTTCACATTAGTTGTACCCGAAGAAGAAGTAAAAAGACGAGTCGAGAAAAAACGGGAATGTTAATACAATAGCGCAAAGCAAACTTATTCTTTCAAAGAATTTTTCGGAGTTTTTTGACAATCATGGCAAGCGAACCTGAGACGACGAGTGAACCTGAGACGACGAGTGAACCTGAGACGACGAGTGAACCTGAGACGACGAGTGAACCTGAGACGACGAGTGAACCTGAGACGACGAGTGAACCTGAGACGACGAGTGAACCTGAGACGACGAGTGAACCTGAGACGACGAGTGAACCTGAGACGACGAGTGAACCTGAGACGACGAGTGAACCTGAGACGACGAGTGAACCTGAGACGACGAGTGAACCTGAAAGTGAAATAGTGAACCTCGAGGTAAATATTTTTTATTTACCGAGAAAAAATATATAAAAATCTACATGCCTAGAAAAGAATTATAATGAAGTCACACATAATCGACAAATCGGTAATGAATTATTTAGCCGACAGTGAATTAAATGGGTTGATATATAATTCACCGATGTAAAAATTCGTTAATTTTCACGTATTATTTCGAATTTTTTATTACAATTCGAGAAAAAAAATTCTGCAGAACAAGTGAGATTATTCTTATAAAGACAGTAAACTTATTGTCCGATTAAATACACAACGCAATCAGGGTGTAAAGCGATGTACTGACTGAATGAGAATATTTGGCAAAGATACATATATACTCGATGATATACGAAAGTTGATGAATGTGCATATCGGTGAATATATATACTGCTGATCGAGCTGAATACATATATCGTCGTTTCGAAACGAAATCTTTGTCGATAATTTCCATATGAAAAAAAAAAGAATATTACATTTTAGAAGCAGGATTTAAGTGAGGAGAGAAAGAACGAGGAGAATCTCGAAATCGAGATGACAACGAATCCGGAGCAGAAAAGTAAACAACCGAAAGCCTGCGAGGAGGATCCCTATATTGTGAAACTGTTTAAAAGTCTAATGAAGCCGGAAAGTCAGAAGAGTCCAGTGGAAAAGAAAAAGTGATATCTGTACCATCTTGTGGAAAATACCAAAAAAATCTTTGTGTAAAATATATCTAAAAAAATTATTGTAAAAAAACAAAATTAATATATTTTAAATTGCATTCATAATTTGCTTATATTTTATCGAATCGCCAGATTAACAAGATATCGATAGTGCAACAGGAAAAATTATTTTCTAATGCAATAATTAAGCTTTTGTCGATTAGATATCGTTTAATATCGTTTAGAAATATCTGATATCGTCACAACGTGAATTAGCGGTAATCAATTTTTAATGAAACAATACAGATTAGATATGTAACATATCTGTGATATTATACGTTTATTGCATTTTATAGGAAATAATCTATAAATACATTCGCGCAGATAATTATGAGGCATCTGATTTGCTTTGCATGCTAAATTATGAAGTCAGAAGCGAGAAATTATGAATTTTTTTTCATCTTATGTATCGAAATAGATCAACTTTTATTATGCCACTACTCTGTTTTTCTCTCTGGCGTGTGCATACAGGCATGCATATTCGATTATCATAACAATTATTGAACTATATCGAACACTTCTTTTTTATTATTCTGCACTGATAATTCGATCTGCTACATGTTCTACATTTCCATTGAAAATAAACGTTACAACATTGATAGATTTATAACTGTTCATCCAAGAAAAAAAAAATTTTTTGCTATACTTTACTAATTGATACTGTCGAACGCGAGAATATAGTGGCACATACTTGTATATATGTATTTTCATACGTGTATTTCAATGTACTTTCTCGCTTCTGATGTCATAATTAGATATAATTATAGTGAAAAAGTAGAAGCTTTAGAAATTTTCCAGCACATCTGGTTTCAGACATATTTCATTATTCAATGTAACGTGAAGTTTTCGCCAAGTATGCACGATCATTTGATAGTCGTCATGGCGACGACCGCGAATCTGAATAATGCATTCGGGATCAAAGATCACTTAAGGTACGTATTTTCTGATATCTGATGTCAGATTGATTGTCTTGATAAAAATAGAAGCCTAAAACAATTTCTATACAATACGTTTAGCATTATTAGCAGAAATTTTTCCATTGACGTACTGCAATAAAAAAAGAAACATATTGAAAATATTCTTTAATGAAAATTTAATAGAGTATTTGAAAGATTACGAAAAAGAGTATTGTGGCTTAAAAAATAAACTTCATAAATTCCCGAAAATACATTCATTCATCGATATTAATATCGTCAATAATATGTCACAATTATTCAATGATATATATCGGTTACAGACAAAGAAATATAATATAAACAATTTTTTAACAAAAATAAAATAACTTCTCGTCTTATAAAGCAATTATATTCAATTGCAGTGGATTTTCATTTATATATTAATGAAAGTATCTTGTAAACTTACGACAACTGATGCATTGCCTATCTTTGTATGATTAACCATTGCTAATTATTGCATCTTATTATCATCATATAATTATCTGATAAGTATAAGCTTTTAAAATTGATATATTATCGGTCACGAACGAATTTTATCCATTGTTTAGGCTATCATGAATTTATATCGATGACTTGATACAAGTATATGTATAAGATATTTCAAAACCACTGAATATTTTTTTCAATAACAAATTTTCTAGTCAATTTAAAAACAATTTTTCCTTAATAAAAGATGTTGAAACATCAATAATTTACAGATTATAAACAATACAAAAAGAAGGATTTTTCGCTAACTAAATTTTATAGAATTAAAAGATTAACACTTCTTCTATTAATTTTACATGGAATTTACTTTAATAAAATTTTAATTTGAGGCTTAATTATTTACAAAAATATATAATTAAAAAATGATTTCTTTCCTTGATATTTTCTAAAATCAATTCTGAATTGGATAAAGAATATATGCTATTAAAAAAAATATGCGGTTGTTTTGGGATACATTCTATAAGCATATATAGTGCTAAAAATAGAAAAAAAAGAAAACAATTGTTGAAACAGATCTTTAGTAAAAATTTGATAAAATAATCTTATTTTAATGGAATTCTGATAAAGTATCGAAAAACAAAAAGTATTGGTAATCGGCTAAATTTTGACTTCAAAAATAAACTTCAAATTTTACGAAAAATACATTAATTCACTCATATTAATAGCATTATATGTTACAAATAATTACTTGATAATATATTAGTAATAGACACAATAATATATTACATAGATAAAATTATATTAAATATAAA